CACAGATTTTACCAGGGCTGGGGCAGGGGTGGGCTCCCTGAAGCGCCGTGATCTGCTGGCTTTGCAAGGATTGCTCAGCGGGCCAGCAGTGGCAGTAGTCCCCCCGTCCCCCAGCGGGCTTAGTTTAAAGCCCGGTGGAGCAGGTCAGCCAGTCTGGCTGAGAAGAGCCTCCTCCCTAAGGGAGAGAGGTGGAGGCCATCTCTTCCCAGCAGCTCGCTGCCTCTCTCACCAAAAAACGGGCTGTGGTCATGAAAGCCAAAGCCTTCCCAACGACACCAGCGCCACAGTCTTTGGTTGACCACATGGATCCTCCTGTCCCTTCTCAGCCCATAGCCTGAGACTGGGAGGATCGACGAGAACACTACCTGTGCCCCCAGACCCTTTAGCCTCGCTCCCAAATCCCTGTAGTGCCTCATGACCTGGCTGGGAGTGCTCCGAGCAGTGTCATTGGTGCCCACATGAATAAGGAACATGGGATAGTGGTCTGTGGGTTTGAGGAGCTTTGGGATCCTCTCCGCAATGTCCTGGATGCGGGCCCCTGGGAAGCAGTAGACTTCCCGGGCTAAGGGGTCGGGGTGGCAGATTGCCCCCTCAGTCCCCCTCAGGAAGGAGTCTCCCACAACAAACACCTTACGTTTTGTCTTGGGGAGAGCAGTTTTCAGAGTCTGAATGAAATAATAAATAATTTTTGTTTATAGAAGTGGGGGTGTGGTTCTTTTAGTTCTAAAAATATTGACTGTAACCCAGGGACCTGCTTTTAATAGCAAAGACTTCAGAGTAATTTAGTGAACTTTTCTGCATATGGGTAATCCAGGACATTAAGGTTGTATGTAATTTATTTTTTAATTTCTCCCCAAATACTTTTACAGAATTGCTAGCAGTAACTGGAAATTAATAACTTTTAGAAAAAACTGACCTGTGTTTGGGAATTGATGACATCAAAAATAGCATTTATCCTACACTTTGACTTCTCCCATCCTAAAACATTTCTTGAAAGGTTCTTTCCTCATTTCCTTGCAAAAAACTTTTTTGCTTTCCTAGAGTTTGCATTTATGAGGTTAATTAATTCACGACAGGACATAGCTCTGATCAGAAGCCCATTGAGTTAAATGAAAAGACTCCCTTTGCTTTCACTGAGCTTTGGATCAGGCTCTGTAACAGAACCTATTTGACAAGTTTTGTATAACCAGGGGTGTCAAACTCAGCAACACTGCAGGCTGGGTGAGTGGCACAGGGTCAGTCCACAGGCTGGATTGGGCCCATGGACTTACTCTTGCCCCCCTCATCCCCTGCATAATAGATTCAGTACATGTGGCACCCACTCTGGGACCTGCACAGCATACGGTGCCTGGTACAGCATCTGCAGTACACACGACATTTGCCTTGGCTAGACTGGGACCTGCACCACCTGTGGCACCTCTGTTTTTCCCCCCCCCTGCAACTGGAGCAGGCTGTATGTGTGCTGTGTGTCTTGGGGTAGGTGCTGTGTGTGATGCGGGTCCTAGAGTAGGCACTGCATGTAGTCCAAACCAGACAGGGCAGGTGCCATGTGTAGTGCAGCTTCTAGACCTCCAGGAGTGGGCACCATGTATGGCACACATTCTGAGGCCCTGCACTCAGACCCAGGGGCAGCGTTGTGAGGGGAGGGGAGTGCTGCAGGTGTTGGGGTTCACAGGGCAAATCTGGCCTTTGGTCTATGTCTTTGACACCCCTGGTATAAGCAATGACAAATAAACTATGAAGCCAAAGCCATCATCTCCCATAACAAGTTTCAGTACATTTTAAACATAATTTGTACTGTGAGTAATGACTGTGTATTTGGGCGTGGTATTGCATTTATCTTGCATTATTATGTACCATGGTGGTAATTACGTTATCCTTGCATGCCAGTCTTTATTATGTGATTTCACAGATTATGACCTCTTCTAGACATTGATGTAGTAATATGAACAAATTCACTTAGCTTCTTTTACACGCTAACTCTCTCCCAGAGACTAATACAGAATCAAGACTAAAACAGAATAGTTATTTATTAAACAATTTTCTGCATTTGAGGAACTTCAGTTGCCACCAGTTATTTCCACCTTAAAGAGTTAATTTCCAGATAAAAATAAAAATGAATACTAAAAATTGCTTTCCTGGCTGATAAAATTGTTCTTAGTTTCATTACCTAATGAAACTATTAATGATTTTTCCTTCTACAGACTAAATTAACGTAGAATTATATACTATGTATATCTCTATATGAATTTCCAAATGTCCCAAAAATATTTAGATAAATGCTTGTGAAAGGAAACTTACGGTATTTTCCTCTTAAATGTCTTTCTCTAGGGAATCCAGTTCCTGATAGAAAATGACCTTCTGCAGAACACTCCAGAGGACATTGCACAGTTCCTTTATAAAGGGGAAGGACTAAATAAAACTGTAATTGGAGATTACCTTGGTGAAAGGTAAACTGAGACAAATGCAACTTTTTCTTTTTCTTTTTCTTATTATAAGGTAGTGTGCTTGTGTGGAGAGTTATACTTTATATCAGTATCACTTTCTCGTTCACTGGCTTTGTGAGCTGCATTCTATGCTGAGGAATATACATTTCATGTTCATCTGTAAAGAGATGTCTCATCTGAGGCTGTCTTAATTGATCCCAGTCAAAACCCAGGACAAAACGAGCAGCGCAGACCATTGCACATGTAGCCTTTCCAAGCTGCATTGCTGTTTAGTGGTCAGGGGGCAAAAACATGGTGGGTTTAACCCCGGTTGGATTGTCCAAAACTAAGACTTACATAAAAGCAGACAGGAGACAATCATCCTCACACATACACACTCATGCACACATACTTCACAGGTAAAGTGGGATGTGGGCTTTTATGTCTGTAGAGTCCTCTTGGCTCTGGATTTAGGGTCCAGATATCTTGTTCGGGGCAGGGGGACCCACCCTCAGACTGACCATGACCTTTTCATTTGATAATAGGCAAATTTATTGATACACAGTGATAACAGAAAAAAGCAATACAAACAGTCAAGCAATTCTGTATAGCTACCAAATCCTAGGGCTATCATCAGTGTCAAAGTACATCTGATTAGGATGCAGTCTTCACTCTGAGGCTCATTCTCTTAGGTGTCAGATGTCAGTAGTCTGAAGGTGGGATGCCAAGGCTGCCGCCGCCGCACCGCACGCCCCCCCCGGGTGCATGAGGTGGGCTGATTGCATGCCCTTGGTCCATGGTGGCCTTGGGGACCCTTCCCGGGGGATGGAAATGGGGATGGGGATGGGGGGACCCCTCTCAGGGAGAAGGAGGAGGAGGGACCCGGGTAGAATGAGACAAAGGGAGGGACCGAAAGGAAGAGAAGGAGGGACGCTTTGTTAGTCTCAAGTCTCTGCTTTTGTATTTTCCTTCCCCCTTGATGACTCCTGATGACTCTTCATCTGTGGCTATATCTGGTTAGTTGTTTCTTTGTGGTCATATGTCCATGTAGCCTTCCGGGCCTTCTCTTAATTTGGTCTGTTCCCCCAGAACCAAGACTCAGCCCCTCCTCTGCTCTGGGGCCTTGTAGCTGGTGTCACTTATCTCATGTTATGGGTAGTATGGTACATACTTCCTTGGTTCCCAGGCTTTGTATCCCTGTTGTGTTAGACAACCTGTCTGCCTTGAAGGCTGTGATCTCGTGTCATGGGATGCTCCCTCAGTTTTCAGGCTGTGTCTATCTGTTGGCCTTGTCCTACTAGACAACCTATCTGTTTCCAGGGCTGTGATACAGTTTCAGTGTGAGACCCAAGCTCTAGAAATCAGTTAACCCCTGCTGACCGTCTTGAACCCTTATAATGCATATAGCTATACATATAAGCCAGTTCCCAAAGAACAGACCTTTAAATGCCATTTCCAAGCCAACAGTCCCAGAATAAAAGGCTTTGTCTCAGGAGATATTGACATCTGTTTTTAAATCAGGGAGAGCTCACAGCCTGGTGGGCTTTTCCCTGGAATGGCTGGCAATTCACTTAAATGAACCTCTTCTAACTTGCAGGTTTACACAGCAGTGTCCTGGGAAAAAAGTGTTAGCATACTTCACAGGTACTTGAAGAGGGATAATGGACTGGTAGGATACTGGAACAAAAGGTTTCCTTCTGGGAGAAATATAATGTCTGCTTACACCTGAAAGTTATGCCCTCATAAATGAGAGACCTTGAAAAATATGGATGCCTTTTGACAGTATAATTCATTGCCAGCTTATCATAGTTCATGACTTTGAAAAATATCAGTTAGTCTTTACTTGGTTCTAGTGCAAGATATAGTACCACACAGTTTTTGAAGGTTTCAGAATCATATTTGAACAGTCTTCTGATGTGATGCCCTTCCCAGACAATAAATGATTCATGGGGTTAATAACCAGATAATGAAAAAATTGCTTATCATTAAAAAGGATAGTGCCTAGCCTAATGGTAGTGAGCTGTTTTTATTTAGCATTATCATCTTCCCTGCACACAGACATCCCATTAACATTAATGGATGTTAAGTAGGTATCTCAAGTGGAGAATGCACCTTAGCTTCTATCACAGACAGCACAATAAATATGTAGGTTTATTATAGTAATGCACTCCAGAAATTGTTTTTTAAAATAATACATCACAACAAAATGGAATCACTGTTAAAAATTGTAAACTAAGTTTTGGTTCTGTTTTCCCTTTTTATTGAAAAAGCTACACACATGGGCTAGAGATAGCAGTTACTCATAAACCAGTTTAAGTGAGCAGAAACTAGTTAAACCTGTAACAGAACAGAAGTTCAGTGCACATAAACCAGTTTCAAAATGGCCAAAATCAGTTTGAGATAAATCTGGTTGAATGAATGAGGTCAAACCAGTTTTTGGAACTTCTGTCCCAGACCCGTTCCTGGTTTAAGTTAAACCGGACAGCATCCTGACATGCTTTGCAGCCCTGGGCTGGTCTGTGCTCTCTGCTCCAGCAGAGCAGAGCTGGCCCTGCCCCTCTGCTCCCCAGCCAGGGCAGCGGAGGGGACATGGCCAGATGCTGGTCACCCTGAGGCAAAGGGAGCAGGGAAGAGGTTTATTCTCCTCTCCCTGCCCTGTCCCACCAGCATGGACCCAGCCAGGGTCTGCCAGGTAGGTGTGCTGCAGAACCGTCCCTGCCAGGCATTTTGCCCCTTTCGCTGCTCTAGCGGCAGGGGCCATGGCCAGCCCCGGTAGAAGTGAAGTTAGCAGAGACTGGGGGTTTAATTTCCCCCTCTTCCCCCTGTTCTAGTGTCCAGCTGGGTCTGCCTGGCTGGGGTGGAGCAACCCGTGTTAGGGTTCCTTGCCTCTTGCTGCTGCAGGGCAGGGGCGGGGACATGGCCCCCTGAGACAAAGGGGGCAGGGAGGGGATTTATTCCCCCACACACACCTCTCCACCCAGCTCTGCCTGGCCGGGGCAGAGCAGCCCCTGTCAGGCATTTTCCCACCCCCTCATTGCCGCTGGAGCAGCAGCCAGCCTTGGCAGTAGCTTAAAGCGGTTTGGCCAGGGAGAGGGTTTAATTACCTGGCTGTGTCCCACCGGCATGGACCTGAGCTGGGGTCTGCCTAGCTGGGGTACAGCAGCACATATTGAAGTCGCTCCCCCATTGCTGCTGCAGCAGCAGGGGTAGAGGCATGGCCAGAGACTGGCCAGCATGGTTGTCTGAGGCAAAGGGGGCTGGGAGGGGATTTATTTCCTTGTTTGTCCTCTCTTCCCCAGGGGGAATGGAGCCGGGGCCTGCCAGCTCCAACCAGCACCTCCGCTGCTCGCTCCATGCATGGGGCAAGCAGAGGAATAAGCCCCCTTTGTGCCTCCTTTGCCAGATGGTGGAAGGAGTGGGGAACAAACCTCCTGCTCCTGCCGCTGGAGCGGCGAGGGACCCTGATGGGGCTGCAGCCCCTGTGATGGTGTCTTGGGGAGCACAAGCCTCTAACTGGTGGGGGGGGCTGCACTGCCACAGACTGTGCAGGGCAAGCGGCAGCGGTGCTGCTAGTGAGTCTTGGGGGGGCTGTGGCCACCCAAAAATTTGGCTTAGCCCATGTAGCCACCCCTTCAAGCCCCACCGCCTCTTGCCCTGCTCAGGCTGTGGCTGCTCTGCCTGCTCCACTCCAGCGCATAGCACAGCCCCCCTCTGCTGGGAAGAGACTTTTGCTTCCAGGACACCTCCACCCCATTGTCAGTCCAGCAGCAGGGGTGGGGGACGTGGCCAGACACCGGCCAGCATGGCCCCCTGAGGGGAAGGGGGCAGGGAGGGGTTTATTCTATCTTCTGCCCCTCTCCCCATGGGGGATCCCAGCTGGGGTCTGCCTGGCTGAGTGTGAGTGGCAGATGCTGTGGCTGGGGATGGCAGACCCTGGCTGCATTCCCCTGGGGTGAGAGGGGATGGAGGGGGGAATAAACCCCCTCCCTGCATCCTTCCTGTCAGAGGGCCATGCTCCCACCCCTGCTGCTGGACCAGTGAGGGGGGGATGGTGTCCCAGGGAGTGCAAGCCACTTCCCAGCAGGTGTGGGGGGGGGATGGAGGGGGACTGTGCTGTGGGCTGGAGCGGGGCAGGCTAGAGCGGGGCTGTGCTGCAGCAGAAGTGGTGGCAGGGCTTGGAGGGGTGGCTATGGGAGCTAAGCTGAATTTTGGAGTGGCCTTAGACCCCCATGGTCCTCCTAGTACCGCTGTTGCTTGCCCCCTGCAGACTGTGGCAGCTTTGCCCACTTGGCTCCTGCCTGCAGTGCAGCCCCCGCACTGAGAACAGGCTTGTGCTCCCCAGGACACCATGATAGGGGCTCCTGTCCTCCCTTGTTGCTCAGTGGCAGTGGCAGGGGTGGGGGCGTGGCCAGATGCTGAGGTTTATTCCCCCTCCTTTCCCCCTTCGCCTCAGGGGGCCATACTGGATGGGTTTATTCCCCCTCCCTCCCCGAGAACCCCAGTCTGCTGGGCTGGGGCAAGCAGCAAAGGTGGTGGCCGGGACTGGCAGACTGACTGCGGTTCCCCAGTGGGAGAGGGGACAGAGGGAGGAATAAACCCCCTTCCTGTCTCCTTCGCCTTAAGGAGGCCATACCGGCTGGCATCTAGCCACAGCCCAGGCAGCGGCATCAGGGGAGCCC